ATTAATTAGAGTTATATTAGAGTTTTGAATTTTTAAATTGAAAAAGGAATTTTTCTAGTCTTTATTTCAAGAAAATTCGAAACTTTGTAAAACTTTAAAATAATTTCAGAATCTGGAATTTGAGTCAGTTAGGAGTTCTAGGATTTAATTTGAGAATTTTTGGAATTAGTTTGCTAATATTTCGAAATTAGGACAATTTGCATACCATTTAACATGTTTGGTGCTTTAATGTTTATGTTCTTGATTTAATGGTGATGAGTGATGAATTTTGGTATTTTGGTACTTTAATTACTGTTGGATGTGTTTAAGGGTTGTGAGAAATTGATTTGAATGGATTATTACCTAGATATGGTAATAAGTTCATTAAATTAAGGTAAAAAGGTATTTGTTCTTGAGCTTGCTTTGATGAGTAATTAGTGATGTTTAATGTGTTGATTGTGCACGTGTGTGTGCTGAAAATGTTGAAGGTGTGTGTGCTGATTGTGCATGGTGTGTGTGCCGTGTGTGGTTGTGTGTGTGAATTTGGGATTTTTGCCCAAATTGTAAATGTGTGGTAAATTGTGGTATTTGTGTGATTTGTGGCACTTGATTGATATTTGTGATGTCATGTGTGGGTTATAGCATTATTTCGAAAAGTTGCATTAAATGATTTTTATTTGAAAGGTTAATGGAATATCGGGTAATAAACAACTCGGATATAGTGGGCCGGTATCCAACTAGGATGATGTGGTAGTGGTTTGATTCCACTTAGTGAAAACGGGCTCGTAACAGGTTTATTATTCGGTACAGAAATTAATCTTTCACGGATCCGATAAGACGAAAATGTATTTTCATGATTTTCACAAAAAGGGCATTTTAGTCATTTTGCATAATTATGTGATTTTGTGAAATGATGTGTTTTCGTGAGATATGTGAATTGACCGATTGCTTTGGGTTGTTGTGCGAAACGTGGGTAAGAACGGGTATACAATATTATATATTATATATAACGTATTTCCAAAGTTTGATAATACTCGGATTTCTTACTGAGCTTTATTGCTCATATAGATGTTTTTTAATTGCAGGTAGTAGTAATCCTCAACCGGGATGGATCGAGTAGTGGATCGAGGTCTTGCCCGGGGTTTTGGAAGACGTACGAGGACCTATGAACGATGCTAGTCTTTTGGTTATTTTCATTTTGGTGGTGTAACTCGAAACCGTAACAATTCTGTTTTCGTACTTTTGAACTCCTTTCCGTTATGACTCGTACTTAATCCCTACTTTAATATCATAAGTTTCGTAATTTGCTATTCTCATGCATTCGCTAGGAATTTTCGAATTATTCACCAAAATAACCACTTTGAACTCTGATTTATTCTCGAACCGAAAAGAGTGTTTAGTGAGAATGTAGCACTCGAATAAGAAACCTCCTTTCGAAACTTATTTCTAAATCAAGCTTTGTATTCGGCTAAAGCAATCCAACAAAGTTTTCGAAAATACAAAGCCTTCAATACCCAAAAGAACATATTTTTAATAATTGCATTTTCACCCCATTCCAATGTTTCAAAAATTACAAAGAGATCCTTTGCTTCCGCTAGTTTAATGAATATTCCGATAAACCGGTTCGATTTATCGCCCGTCTAGAAGGGGGGTGCTACAATACCAGCATCTCCCTTCGATTTTCGTCTTCATATGCTCAATATTCATTCGGAAAATTCACATGAAAAATAGAAATTATGTGTCACTACTCTTATTGGTCTGACTATTATGCATCAACAAATAAAATCAAATGAATGCAAAAAAAAAGGAAAATAAAGAATACACATATATTGATAGAGATCATACGTGGCGACCATATTTATCGGTAATGGCAGCATAATAGTCCCCTCCCTCTTTCTCTCTAGAAAAAATCACTCTCGTCACTAATTTGGCCTAAAATCATCTTTGTTGAAGTGATATACGAACACAAATGAGCTCATCGGATGAAGTGATATACGAACAAAAATGAGCTCTAACGTGGGGAGAACCTCAGGAAAAAATGTTTCTCTCTCTAGAAAAAACGCTATGCCTTTTCTCTAGAAAGTTGTGTCTTTCATACGAAGATTTTGATCGATTTTAGCCATTCATATGTTCGTTGTTCATTTCATTCATTTCTGGTTAGTTGATCATCGTTTCTTATTGTCATTTTAGTTCAATTATCCATCGGTTTTGAGGTTTTCGTGCTCTTTGCATATTATTTTCTCAAAATTTGGTAGTGTTCTTTGTTTTTTTCGTGTTTGTGTTTGGGTCAGCTGTATTCTTGTGTTTTTGTGTCGTTTTTTTGGTTGTTTCTCCTTCATTTCATTCGGTTTTAGGGCTGCTTTCATTCCTTGTGATCTTAGCCTCGTTTTTCGCTTCCATTCTTGGGCGTTTTTTGCTCGTTGTGCTTCTTTAATTTCAGTTTTAGTGGAGGTTTGTTTCGTCCTCATTTTGTTTCGTGCCTTGTCATCGGTTTTTCGTGTCTCCGTCGTATCTCCGCCTTCTCTCGGTGGAGATCTTCGAGTGGGTAGCTGCTGCTTGTGGCCCCGCATGAATCTAGACTCTCATCTTGTCTTGGTTCCTCCTTTAATGAGTGTAGCAAATCTAGATCATTCTAAATCAGGACCTTCATTTTCAGACGTGGTAATTATGGAAGATTTCACCAATCAATCTTCCTTGATTGTGGAAGCTGAATCTTCTACACAAGGCAAGGTCTCCAAAATTCAAATTTCACCAACCACTTTTCCCGCCCGTTCCACCTCACCCCTTGACTTGGCTAGAACTCCTCACCTCAGCCAACCACAGTTCGCCAAGTTTACACCACTTGCCAAATCACCATCCTATGAGGATTTTTCTAGCCTCAAACTACCGGTCCCTAAGCCCATCTCAGCCCCTAACTCTCCTAAGAAAGGCCTATCTTCCACTCTAAAACCGGCTCACGATAGTATTACTCAAATCCGAGCCCAAAACCCTAAAACGGACCACCTAAACCCCAATCTTGTGGCCCAAGCTGGTTTTATGTCCAATTCAAACACTAAAAATGATATTTCTATCCCTATTTCTCAATTGGACAATCATAATCCGAATTCCCAATTCCAAACCCAAAATCCCCAATTAAAAAACCCCAATCCCGAAATTCAAATCCCAAAATTCCAATTCCCAACCAAATCCTTTGCTGCTGCTGTACACGGCGATCTCGGACCTCCAATTGCTCCTTCTAAGGTTGATCGCCGTCGTCACTTGCTCCACCGAGAAGATATCGCTCCAATTGGGACAATTAAAGTGATAGATGGCAAGAATGTGCTCTATTTCTCGAAAGAGGAGGTTGATAAGATGCTTGAGCCGTTAAAGTACACCTTGATTGGTAAGTTTTCTCATGGGATACCTCACTACAAAGTTATGGAGAAGTTTATTTACGATTTAAAGCCCCGCGGTTCCTTTGAGTTGCATAAATTGAATTATCGGCATGTGTTGATTCAATTCTCGGTATTAGATGATTATTCTTTGCTTTTGAGAAGATCGATATGCTATATTGATGGGCTGCCCATGCGTGTTTTTAAATACACTCCGGGCTTTAATTTGAAAAACGAAACTTCTATAGCGCCGGTCTGGGTTAATGTGCCGGGAGTTCCTCCTTATATGTACAACCGAGAAGCTATATTCTTCCTTGCTTCTTCTATTGGAAATCCACTTGAGTTTGATGATTTTACAGCCGATCGAAAGAAGCTATCTGTTGCTCGATTTTGTGTCGAAATTGATCTCTTGAAACCGAGGGTTGAACAAATTCCGGTGATGACTGGCTATGATGATATTGAGATGATTTCCTTGCCGGTAAACTACGAGAACGTCCCAAAATTCTGCACGTTTTGTTCTCACCTGGGTCACTCGATTGAAAATTGTTATATGAATGGAAATGCTAAAAAACCGGATTTTCCACCACCGCCACAACGGATTCCCAAACCCACAGCCCCACCAAAGGAAAAACAAGTTTGGCGACGAGTTGAAAAGAGGAAAAATGTTGTTGTTGAAAACATGGATATTCCTAAAACATCGTGGACAAAATCAACTGAAAATCCTAGTTTTTCTCAAGCTATTGTGCGGACTACTGCCGATAATATTAGTGAAGGAGATTTTGAGCATTACAACCCCTTTGAATTGTTGGAGAGTGGGGTTCAAGAGGATATAGAGGCTGCTCATATTCAACCGGATGTTGCCTCCAAACATGTTCCAAAATCTTCGAAAAAGGGCCGAAAAAATACTTGTAACACCAAACAACCGATGAGTCCAGACCCTATAGATACTATTGCCGATGATCAAGCAGCTGATTTGGATGATAGTGAGGCCTTATCCATGTCCAAAAAATATCAGCATGTGTCTCCCTCCAAAAAGAACAGAAATCAAGCTTCTAGCTCCCGAACCGCAAAGGGGGCAGCCCTCTCAACCCCCTCTCTATCACCTTCAGCCACATCGGTGGCCAAGGATGTTCCCCTTAATCATGGGGTACACGGACGAGAGGGGTCAGGACTTTCGGCGGGTACGGATCCGATTACACCTACGTCGGCTGCCTTATTTTGCGAACACTATGTGACCAAGGTCCGGCCCACGGCCGAGCAAAATTTGGCCGGCACGCCTCCTTTCAATCACCTTGACATGATCCCGTATGAGCCCGTGAGCCCAGCCACGAGCATACGCCCAGCTGATCATGCTACTCCGGGCTCTATCACTGATGAACCTTCGACCTCGTGGCGATCGAGCCTAATTGATGCTGAGCGTTGGCGTTTGCAGAATGCCGAACGTTGGCATGCGGAGGAGGCCCACCTTATTGGTAACTCATTCTTTGTCACATCTCGAAAATCTTCAGATGGGTCGCATTCCCCCTCTTCTTGATGTCGGGTAAATTTTTGGTGTGGAATGCAAGGGGGGTAAAAAATAAGGCGACCCAATCCCACTTGCGCTTTATTTGTCGCCAACATAGAGTTAATTTATTGGTTATTTCTGAACCTATGACTGAGTTTGTGCATGATTACTATTGCCGTCGTTTGTGTTTCGTTGCTGGTTTGTCTAATTGTGCGGGGAAGATCTGGATTTTTTGGGATCACAATTTTCGAGTGGAGTTGCTTAGGGATGAGGTACAATTATTGCATGTTAGATGCATATCTGGTTTATTTGGTGCTCCTTTTGTATTTACTGCGGTCTATGCTAGATGCTCTCGTTCCGAGCGCCGTGTTTTGTGGAATTCGTTCCGCGACATTTTTGAGACGATTGGTGACACTCCTTGGATTTCTGGGGGTGACTTCAACTCAATCTTACTTGAGTCGGAACGGAATAGATCGGTTTCGGATAGGAGACTAGATATGGCTGAGTTTGGTGCTATGGTTTCGGATTGTGAACTTTCGGATGCCGGGTTCTCTGGGGCTAGTTCTTGCTATACTTGGGAGAGCCCTTCAGGTCTTTTGGAGCGTTTGGACAGGATTCTATAAAACTCTGCTTGGCTAGATTTACTGCCTATTACGCAGGTTACCCACCTCTCACGGACCTGGTCGGATCATGCTCCTCTTTTGGTTTCATCGGCTGCTTCTTCGTCTAGGCCTCCTGCTTCATTCCGGTTTCAACATATGTGGATCCGCCACGCTACGTTTCGTCAGATTGTGGAACAGGTTTGGGACTTTCCGTGTGCTCAGACGGGGATGCATCGATTACATACGAAGTTGAGACGATTGAAACAGAAGCTTCAGTGGTGGAATTGGAATGTTTTCGGGGACGTGTTCAAGAATAAAGAGAGGGCCGGGGCAGCTGTTCTAGAGGCAGAGCACATATATGACTTGGATCGATCCCCCGAGAATCGTGCAAATTTGAAAAAGGCCACTGCTGAACTTACTCTCATGCTCAATATTGAGGAGGACTTTTGGAAGCAGAAGGCAGCTTGTAGATGGGCGACTGATGGAGAGAGAAACTCTAAGTTTTTCCACTCATTAGTCAAGAAAAAGCGATGTGTCAATCGAATCCACTCTATCTCTCATGGTGATTCGGTTCTCACATCAGCTCAGGAGATCAAGGATTTGGGCGTTGATTTCTTTAGCAAGCTTCTTACCAATGATATGCCTAGTTTGCTTCCGGTTGATGAGTCCCTATTTTCCGCTCCTCAAAGGGACTTTTCTTCAGTCTCTACTCGTCCGTCGGTTGAGGAGATCAAAGATGCGGTGTTCGGGATTTGTCGAGATAGTGCTTCGGGTCCTGATGGGTATTCTTCGCTATTTTATCAGCATTGTTGGGACTTGATTCAGTGTGATGTTTGTGAAGCGGTTTGGGATTTCTTCGAGGGTGGATCTATGCCTGCGAGCTTCACCGCTACCACCTTGGTTCTTATTCCAAAGGTGGACTTTCCGACGGCTTGGACAGATTTCCGCCCGATTAGCTTGTGCAACGTTACCAATAAAATTATCACCAAGGTACTTACGAACAGACTGGCACCTCATTTGCCCCACATTATTTCTCCTTCTCAGAGTGGGTTTGTTCAGGGTCGTCTCATTAGTGATAATATTTTATTAGCACAAGAGATGGTCCACTCGATATCAGTTCGTTGTCGAAACCCGAATCTTATTTTGAAGCTGGATATGGCAAAGGCTTATGATAGGGTTCAGTGGCGGTTCTTATTTCGTGTACTCGAGCTGATTGGTTTCTCGGCGAACTTGGTTGATATTATTCGGCGATGTGTTTCCTCGTGCCAGTTCTCTTTACTAATCAACGGGGAGCTGACGGGGTATTTCACTTCGTCTCGTGGTCTAAGGCAGGGAGATCCGCTCTCGCCGACTCCTTTTGTACTTGCGGCTGAGTATTTTTCGAGAGGTCTCGATGCACTATACAGCCGTTGCCCAAGCATGTTTTATTCTACAAGGGGAGGCATCCCTATATCCCATTTGGCCTATGCGGATGATGTGATGATATTTACCTCGTGCCATAATTTTGGCCTGAAGAAGCTGCGGGATTTTCTCGATCATTACTGTCGGACTTCGGGTCAGTTGATTAGTGTGCACAAGAGCACTTTCACAGTTGATAGGGCATGTTCTGATGGTCATCTTCGCACTATTTCTCGGATTCTCAGTTATCCGAGAAAGGATCTTCCTATCATTTATCTTGGAGCTCCACTATACAAAGGGAGGGACCGGGGCAGTTTGTTTCACACTTTGATTGATCGCATGCAAGCCAGGATTTCGGGTTGGGCTCGGACCGCTTTGGCTTTCGGGGGCCGTCTTGCCTTGATCCGGAGTACGCTTTCGACTATGGCTTTGCATCTTGTTCAGGTTATTCAACCTCCGCAGTACATTATTCAGCAGATTGAGCAGTGCATGGCCCGATTTCTCCGGGGATCTTATGGTAATCAGCGCCGGCCATTGGGTCGCTTGGGAGACGATTTGTCGGCCAGTTAGTGAGGGTGGCTTGGGGTTGAGGCATTTGACGGATGTGATTGACGCCTTCACTTACAAGCTCTGGTTCCGATTCCGTGCTCAGGATTCTCTTTGGGCCCGTTTTCTCCGAAACAAGTATTGTCGGAATCGGTTCCCAGGTTCATCCGTTGTGTCTTCACTCTATAGCACGGTGGGGAAGCGCATGTGCCGTGTCCGAGAGCGTGTTCAAGCTCAAATATTTTGGCGGATTGGTCCAGGTCATGTTTGTTTCTGGCACGATCACTGGTTTGGCGATGGTCCCCTTTCGGGTATTATTGATGGTGGTCGGCTAACATCAGTTCGTGTGGAGTATTATTTGGTTAACAGTCAGTGGGATCGAAACAAGCTAGCTGAGGATATTCCTTTTGAGTGGATCGATAGGATTTGCTCGGTCCCAATCTCTGGTGCTTCGGGTGATTTGCCCATTTGGAGAGCTTCTTCAGATGGCAAGTTTTCCTTGACCTCGGCTTGGGCCTTGATACGACAGCAGCATACCCCTACCCCTCTTCTTCGTATATTTTGGGGATCTTGTCTTACTCCTACAATTTCTATCTTTCTTTGGCGTCTCCTTCTTCAGCGTCTTCCAGTGGATACCAAACTTCAGTCTCGAGGCACCTCTCTTGCCTCGAGGTGCTATTGTTGTCCAGATCCATCTATTCCTGTGTCGAGTCTTGTATCTCAGTCTGTCGAGTCTCCTTCTGTTGAGTCGATTGATCATATCTTCGTGGAGAGCCCGACGGCTAAGAGGGTATGGCATCATTTTTTCTATCTTTTTGGCTATACACCTGCACACACTACGCACATACCCCAGATTTTACTTTATTGGCAGCACTTCACTTCGCACACACTCACACACCACACACACATCACGACCATTGTGCCTTGCTTGATCTTGTGGTACTTATGGATTGCAAGAAATGATAGCAAGCACAAGGATATCACGGTTCGCGCTTCTTCCATCATTTACAGGGTCATCCAGCACATCAGGATTCTTCACCAAACCAAATTACTTTCGGCAGACAGCTGGACTGGCATTCCCCACGTGGCTGAGTCTCTTGGCCTATATTACCGAGTCAGAACACCAACTCTCACACCTTATCGAGTTGTTTGGCTTCCACCGGATCCGGGTTGGGTGAAGCTAAACACAGACGGAGCCCGTAGAGCATCCACCCAGATTGCAGCTATTGGCGGGATTATCAGAGGTTCGGACGCTGAGGCCATACTTGCATTTCACGAGAGGATCTCTGCCCCGAGCAGTATTGCAGCCGAGCTTGCTGCCCTTGCCTCGGGGCTGCGATTTGTTATTCAGAGGCAATTCACTAGAGTTTGGATCGAGCTTGACGCAGAAGTCGCTGTTCGACTTCTTTCGCACACGGACCAAGGTCATTGGAGTCTTCAGAGTTCTCTCACGGCGATCCGGAACTCTCTTTCTACTTTGGAGTACAGGATTACACATATCTACCGGGAGGGCAATACAGTAGCTGATGCATTAGCTAACTTGGGGTGTCAGACCGAGTTGGCTCGTACCTTCACAACAGCGGAGCTTCCCCGACCTATTCAGCAGATGATTCGGATGGACCAGCTTGGATATCCATCCTTTCGACGACATTCTCGCACATAGGTGCCATGCATTCCACTTTTTTATATTATTGGCAATTTAGGAATTTTCGTGAACTTTACATGTTAGGAAGGGTTGGGGTTATTATGGATTGTTTGGTTCTATCAAGACTAGACTGTTTGCCGAATGGTGCCACACATTTCGCAGTCGTTATACCAGTTTCGCCCATTTTTGGCGAAAGTGTAAGTGGCCTCGGCTGTTGTGGTGAGGCGAACGGTCTACCTTGGTCTTCCACGACCTTCTATGATCATTCCCTACCCGTCCCTTTTATTAGTTGGGCCACCTGTTTTGCCCATATTCTTAACGTGTTGTTAGTTAGCTATTGTCTTTTGTTTGTCAATTGCTATTATTAGCCATATGTTGGGCAGTAGCAATGTGAGCGAAACTCATTATGTACTTCTTAAATATTGTTTTATAAACAAGTAGGGGGTCAAGCCTAACCCCCCACCCTCATCGGGTGTCGTTCTCTTAAAAAAAAAAAAAAAAAATTCATCATTTGGTTCGAAAAATTTGGACCGAAAGGGCAAACGCCCAACCCGGGCGCCGGAATCAGTAACACACGCCCAAGTTGGGCATGCAAACCGACGATCCACGCCCAACCCGGGCGTTTTTGTTTTTCATTTTTTTTATTAATTTTCTTACGTTTTTTTAGGGAAACCAACAGAATACGGCTAAAGTTGAAGTCGATCATACTGATTATTTTACAACAAATCAATTGTTTGACTCCAAAGATGAGCTGGTAGATTGGACGAAGTCCGTTGGTAGAAATCTTTTTGTATAGTTGATTACAAAAAATGGCCCTAAACCTAATAAAACGACGTACCTGACTTGTGACCTATTTGGGGCGAAACGAGATACGCCATCAACTAACCCAACTGTGCGCCCGAGAAGATGGAATGGTAGCAAAAAAAATCATTGTGGTTTCCAAGTTGCGGGAGTAAAACGGTTGGATGGTTGATGGGAGCTCAGAATATTATATGGGAAGCATAATCATTATCCGGTATATACGTCTGGGCATGGGCTGAGTCCATTGTCTAAAAAAGAATTGGAGATTATTAAAGATTTGTCAAAAAGTCATGTGCCGCCGAAGAAGATTATGGCTCTCTTGAAATAAATGGGCTTGGGTCTCAATGCGTATATGAAACAAATATACAATGCAAATGATCATTTCAAAAAAGAAGCTAGGGGTGACCATAAAGTGATGCAACATTTATCTGGGTTGCTTAAGGAGCACAAATATTACAAGTGGATTCGTACTGATGAAACAACATATGAAGTTATTAATTTGATGTGGGCTCACTCTCATTCTGTCGAATTGCTAAGTAAGTTTTCGTGCGTTATACTACTTGACAGTACTTACAAAACCAATCAATACAAAATGCCTTTGTTGGAGATTGTTGGTGTTACTTCTGTGGGTCGTAATTTTACTGTTGGAGTGGTATTTATGTGCCATGAAAATGAAGACCATTATACCAGGGTATTGCAGAGACTGAAAAGACTTTACCCCCCCAGACACTCTACCTAGTGTAATTGTGACTGATCGAGAGTTAGGACTCTTGAAGGCGTTAGAGAATGTATTTCCGACCGTGGATCCTCTTTTATGTCTTTGGCACATTAACATGAATGTGGGTCATCGTGTTGCACGATGTTTGGGCAATAGTAAGTCGCGAGGGATTGCATTCGTACGTGGCCCGTGGCAAAATGTTGTAACATTCATATGTGAGGAAGATTTCAACAACAATTACATGGTTTTGATGGATGAGTACGCAAATTATCCACAGTTGATCGAGTACCTGCAAGACACTTGGATCATATACAAAGAGAAATTTGTTCGTGCATGGACGGATTATATTTTTCATTTGGGCAATACAACGACTAGCCGGTATTTATTTTTTGTTAAATACAAATATGTAACTTAATGCTATTTTGTGTACTCAAACGTAACATATTTTAATCATATTTGGGTGGAAAGTAACCATAGACATTGAAGAGATGGTTGGATGCGTCCACATGTGGATTTGACATATTTTCGGCATAATATCATTCACAAATAACAGATCAGCTTAATGATATCCTGAATGAATTTGCAAAGTCAAAGAGGATTCGGGCTAAGACGATTAATGTTCTTGTGTTTAAAATTTTGTCCGGTGGAATTGTTACTCATGCCGCTCTGAAGCTTTTGGACGCTGAGATGGAGACAGATTTAGACAGCTGCACTCATTTTCTGAGGACAACTCATGGCCTCCCGTGCAAACATAAAATTGATATTAAGATGAATTCGAGAGGTGATTTGTTTTATGCAGGGGATGTTCACTTGTTTTGGAGGACAACATTTTTGGTGGATGGTAGTGTTGGGTGTTAAATACCTAACACGCAAGTGCATGTATCGCAAACAAGTAGTAAAAGTGGACTCGTGAGAGTTGGATGTCGATCCCACAGGGAATACTCAAATTATCTAATCCTAGGTACCAAATTTTAACAATTATGATTTTTATCCAGCCTACGCAAAGTTGTCAAATTTAATCAACTAAATAATTAAACTAATTATGAAAGCAATTAAACACGAGAAAAGATCAATAAAAACGGACCTAGGATTTGATCTTCCCCCTATGCAAGAATCGCTCACCCAAAATCCCTCAATTATGAAATATACGATTCATGATTATTAACCCGAGACACTAATTTACTCATAACCCGCTGTCGCGTGTATTATGAGTCTATTATTCATAAACGGTTCACTATATGTCTATGCAAACAAATTATGAATAAAGCATTAACTAACAAGTCTCGTAAATGGCTACATAAGGTGATATCTATATGTCTACGACACCACATGCAATTGACACACTCATCCGGTGAAAACTACTCGAAGGTTCTTATACTTACCGTCTAATTATCAAAATAGCTCTGTCGAGTCAATCCCAATAATCACAGATAAAGCACAGAAATTGATCAAGTTCATGCACTAACAATCATAACAAGTATAAAAAATAATCATAAAATCATAATTGCATAATCTCAAGAAAACGGGTTCACCATCCCCACATAGGTTTCCAACAAAATCCTAGATTCAAAACTTAGCTACTCATGTTCTCTACGAAAAACATAATAAAAATATAAAAAGACATAGATTAAGAAAAGATAGATAAAAGAAGAATTGTGATGAAGAGTTGTCAATTCTCCGTCTTCGATTCTTCGTTCTCTCGCTCCTCTCGCTCCAAGATTGTGTTCAAAGTCCTTTAATTCGTGCTTAGTTTGCCCTTAAATAGATGTCCCAACTTGGTAGATGATTCTAGGTTTCCTTGTGTGTTTAAAAGTCCAAAATTGTCTCCAACGTGTTTTGGCACGGTCGCGCGAAAATCAGTTAAAATCTCACACGGCCGCGCGAGAATCGCCGAAACCTTATGCCCCAGTTCTGCTGTTGGCACGGCCGTCCCATTTTTAAGGGTAAATCTGGGACGGCCGTCCCGTGCCAAATTTTTCAGATTTTTGATTATTTCACTTTTGGCTCATATTTTCTCCAAAATTGCAGTTTTGACCCCAAACTTTTCCAATTCTTCAATTTGTACCTAGAATACAATAAATCAACTTTTTAAGCACCAATTATCGTTAATTCACAAAAAAAGCTCAAATAAAAAGATACGATAAAGTGTTAAAAATATACACTTAACACACCCCCAAACTTGATCTTTTGTTTGTCCTCAAGCAAAAACTAGCAACTTTCACAGCAACACTCTCAACAACTGCCACTCATCACATGGATTAATGGTCAACTTTCATTTTTCAGAACTTGCTATTATCATAACAATTCTTAAAAATTTACAAGCTTGTAATTCAAAGATACGTATTCACTCACCATTGCTAAAAACCATAAACCATACTATCGCTTCAAGTATCCCATATTTGTACATTAAAAATGGAGAAAATTTATACTTACATCATAATATTCAACTCCAAAGACTCACCAAATTTCTTTACTCGACTAGTATCAAATAATTGAGCTATTGGGATCATTGGGACTTTTTGGCTTTCAAATGTTGGGCTTTTTGGTTCGAGGTAGGAGATATGCGTATAGGTGGCTATTCTTCTTGAATTGAGGTGATTACGCCAAAATTTGAAAGATAGGCGTTTGAAACAATGAATTCACCTCTAAGGAATTTTAATAAACTCGATTTTTAAGAGTTCAAAAGTCTCCACTTTTGCTCTTAAGACAATGGATCGAGCTTTCAAACAAAAATTCAACAACTAGTCCTTTCATCTCCCTTCTAGTCGAACACCATTTCTCCAAGGCTAAATCAAGGTTCGAATGATAAAAATTTAAAGGTAGGCTTGAAAGGCTCAAACGGTTCAAAGATGGCCCAAATCACTTCCCAAATTGCTCAACAATTTAATATTTCACTTTTGTAAATTCCTAAGGCAAGTTCTAAAACCGAATAGGATATGATATAGCATAAATTAATTCCACGTTTTAAAACACAAAACTTTCAACCAAAGCAAGGCATAATTCGTGATTCCTAACAATGACTCCTTCCTACGACACTTTGAATCAAAAGCTCACCAAAATTCAATCACAATCAAGATAAAGCAAGCAATTTCATCATTAAACATCAACCATCTTTCATCATCATGATTCATCGAAGCATTTATCTCAAACACATTTTTTTTTCGAAAGCAAAACTAAAATAAAATAACTCAATCAAAAAAAACTAAGGCATGCAAACTAAAAAATTAAAGCAAGTAATTTTCCACATAAAAGCAAGTAATTTTCCACCCCCAAACTTAAAATTTACATTGCCCTCAATGTAATTAGCACGAAGTTTAAGGATAGAATACACCTGAATTAGTTGTCTTGGCCATGTCTGGGCTGCTCTTCCACCCTCGCCTTTATTATGCTTCAGTTGAGGTTCGCACGGCCGTATGAGATTTTGAACTGTTTTCCGCACGGCCGTGCGAATTGCCAAAATTAGGCAGTAGCTGTCTGATTCTCGCACGGCCGTGTGAGA